CCAGCCTCGGCCATTCTATGATTCTGTGATTTTAGTGTGATCAGCTTTAAACTTTTCATTAATCTGACTGTTACTGGGGAAACACCTAGATGAAACAGTAAATACAGCAATAGCAATTAATGAAGGGATGTGGAATTTAAAAAGCAAAGTGCAATGCAGCTCCTCTGATCTAGTCACTGCATTTTTGTACCTGAACAGAGATAGCTTCCCTTTAAAATGATATAATTTTAAGGCCTTTTTAGCACTTACATTGGGTAAACACTTGCGCTGAGTATCTAAAGAGGTTTTTCTCTTTTTTCACAGTAGTTGCATTTCCTGACAAATTGGCTTCCTAATCTGTAATTATCTTGCTTGTGTTGGAATGGCAAAGCTCCTTGAAAATGATTCACAAGTATACTAGTGGGAAAATAATACTCTCCTCTCTCACTATGCTGGCCATGGAAAATTCAAACAGCTTGTTGAGAAAGCTGGATAAATACTCATTTGGGATCCAAGTGATCAGGAGTCATTCAGTCTGTTTATTTACTTGTGCTGCATTCCTTCACTCAGATTTACAATAAGGTTGTTTCTGAAGCTGGATTTTGGAACATTGTACTATAATCTCTAACATTACGCAGTGAGATAACTCGTCTTCTTAAAATCTGAAGTAAAAAATTCAGGTGTTTAAAAGGAAAGAGTCTTCCAGGGAAAGCAAATTCTTCTGGATGTTTTAATATTATTTACTTTTACTTCTGTGTGTAATTCTCCACTCATGAAGGGGAGAATGCTAAGGAAAACTCTTGATGTAATGTGTAACTGCATAAAGCTTGGAAATAACATCTTACCCAGTAAGCAAAGTGTTTGCATTTTGAAGCTTCAAGGCATAATTTAGTAATGATATATGTGTATCTCAGAAGACTCAAATTCAATTTAATTACCAAGTCTTTAATTAAGGGAAGAATTTTCAGTGAAAACACTCTTGCCTTATTTTTTTGCTTTCGCGAAGTTCTGTGGGCCCTTTCTGGTTCCTAAGAAAACTTCTGCAGTCTACAGGCTGATGATGTTAATGTCTGATGAAAGTGAAGTACTTCCTTGTTTTTGAAACAAGAGTGTACCTTAAGCAAGTCTTGTATATTTCCTCACTTTTCCCCCCTTTTTCTTTTCTGTATATGCAATGTTATATGCAAAATTAAACCTGGCAGAAGCTTATCTGCTGCTTAGTCTTTGCCATACTGCATGGAGACCTGTATGTCTAAACTAGTTTAAAGTAGGACTCAAAAAAAATATCAACTGCAAATATTATTATGTGATTGATAATATGTTTTTAATGATGTTATATGGACACACAGCATCTGCCAGTTACAGTGTCTTTGCAGCCCTAAACAACTTTTTTTATGTGCCTTTTTAAAACTCTTTTCTTATTAGGTTTGCAGAAGACTAGACAGTGTCCAGCAGCATGGCATTATCTGGCAGAAGCACAGATGAAAATTCATAAGCACAGAGATGCTGTCTTGTCCTGTAATCAAGGTAAATGCCCGTTAATTATACGGACAACTGCGGGGGTACATGTGCAACCGTAGGGGTACACTGCTTTATGTAGTCCAGCCAGTGTGGCCTTTTCGTGGTAAGTTTGAGTTAGCAGCAGTTGTGGTCCTTTGCCTTGTGCACTCTGATGACTTTTACTGGTGTCCCCTATTTCTTTTGGTTTATTACAGCTGTTATAAGCTGCACCTCGTGCTGCTTAGT